AACTCTGGACCAAGTCTAGATTGTAGGATATCCAAATCGTTTTCGTAAGCTTCAACTACTTCAGCTAGTGTTTGATTTCCCTCGATCATCCTTGTTGTCGCAACAAGTTTTACTACTGATGGGGCTTTCTTTTTTCTAACAATTGCTCCGGTAGTACTATCGTCATCTTTGGGTATGGGTTCTGCTTCTTCGAATTCATCTGCCTGTCGTTTGCCAGGTGCAGTAAGCTGTGCTTGATCCAGGTCACGAGGTTGTTGCGCTGCTTTGCCTTTTTGTAAGTCATCGTTCGTAATGTCAAGCGATGGCAAATTCCCTCTCTCATCTTTTAATTCACCAGCAGCGTTGATAGTATCCTCCCTTTTTTGTAGGTCTCGTGAGACTGTAGGATATACATCTTTCTGTACTTCTTCGGGTTTTCCTTCGTATCCGYCTGGGACATCATAATGTTTATCGGCATCTAAAATATCTTCGAACAGCTCTGGACCAAGTCTAAATTTAAGGGTTGCTAAGTCGTTTTCGTAGCCTTCAATTATATCTGCAAGTGACTGCTTCTCTTCAATCATCTTCTTGGGTGCAGCAAGTGAAGTCCTTTGKGATTTTGGTTCGTTTTCTGTTACTTTAGATGACAAAGCTTTCTCCTCTTTGTCATTTAGTCCATCTAGCATTCCCTTCTTTATAGCGTTTTCTKTACGTACTTCAGCTGGGACGTTGTCTTTATCGTTGATGTTATCCACATCGACTGGCAGTATGCTTTCTTCTCTTGTTTGTTCATCCAAATCTCTCCGCTCACCAGGATAAATGTCTTCTTTAATGATATCGCTGTCTTTTCTTGCCTCTTTGTAGACAACTGAGTCATCTGTCTGTCTTTCGGAATCTTTGGATTTTATTTCACTTTCTTTGGCTATAAGATCTCCTCCATCGTGATTTGTATCCAGCACTCCAGCACTAAGAATTTCYTTATATAGATCAGGGCCAAGTCTGAATTTCAAAGTGTCTAATTCGTTTTCATATTCTTTTATTACTTCTCCGAGAGTTTTATTGTCTTTGYACATAAGTACAGGAGCAGTAAAAGCACACTTTTCAACATATGGTTGTAGGAATGGTCTCTGAGAAGAAGTGGTTACTTCTGGGCACATTTCTACGCTTTCACTATAATCCAATGATTTTGTTGAACATTGTAGACTGCCAACCTCACTAACATTATCTTTTTTATCTGTTAGTTCGTCTATATCCTTGGATGTTTTTGCTGGGTTTAAATCTGTTGGCCTCAGTTGTTTGTTGGATTCAGTTTCAAGGTTTGTTCCCTCATCTGTATAATCGTCCTGAACATCTATACTTTCTTTTYCTTCACTGGCCTCCATTTTATATGACTGGCTAGCCTCTGAACCCCCTTCCTCTTCCTCGCATTGCTTCCCTTTTTCGGCTGAAATATTGTCGTATTCAGAGATTAGCTTATTTTTTCGGTCCTGATCGATGTCTAATAATGCGTGGACAAGATCATTACCAAGCATAGTCTTTAGGACATCGTTTTCTTTACCAAGATTATCCATTTCAAATTCATAAGCTGCTATGACATTCTGAAGATCTTCGTCAGTCTCATTCATGATTTTCGTTGCTTTTAGAGGTCCTGGATCGTCATCTATTCCAGTAACGTCTTTTCTTGACTTTAATAAAGAGTTAATAAGATTCTCTCCAATGAGATCGTTCAGTCTCCCAAGAGCGTCTTTTTGTTCTGCTAGGATTTCTTCCACCGTCTTATCTGCGCTAATAACTTCATCCATGGGAGCCATCAACTTATTTTCAAGTAATTGGCTATTGGATTGTAATATGGCGTCCGACAACGTTTCACCCATATTCTCTCTGAGACAGTCAAGCTCATTTGAAAGGTCCACATTCAGAGTAGTTAACTTTTTGTTTTCGTTTTCCAACTCGCTCATTATTTCCGCTAGCGTTTCGTCCTTACTATCTATTCTGTCAATTATGGCTCTTGGTAGCTGGATATGCTCTTTTTCATCCAGATTTGAATCAGATGTAATAGCATGAGCCAAGTCGTCTCCTAGTGTAGCAGATATGCTGTTACTGAGGTTTTCTAGCAGTTCCCTCTGTCTGCATGCAACTTCTTTTAATTTCTCGTTTTCTTCAGCAAGCTTTATYAACGTCTTTTGATCAGACAGCATTTGATTTAAAGCTTGGGAATAATACTTTTTTTCCTTCTCACTTGGCTCTTCTTCCTTTAATTCGCCTGCCATTTGAGCAAATACATTAGAACCATGTATCTTATGCAGTACATCTTCTCGTGCTTGATCAAGCCTAGCCTTTTCTTTGCACAAGGAATCATAGGTTTCTTGGATATCCTGATCTTGCAATTCGACCTCAAATTTTGATTTCTCTTCTTGTATTTCTTTTAATTTTCTTTCAGCATCACGTTTTTCATCTATTAAAGCTTGGATTTCTTCTGGACCAATAGAAGGTCTAGAACTATCGTCACAGTCGTCAAACTTTGTATTTATCTCAAGCATATAATCTTTCAGACTTTTCTGTGAATGTAGGAGCTTGGTCAGCTCGAGTAACTCAGGAGAGACAGCACTGTCGTCCTCCGAAATGGAACGCATACCCTCCAGCTCGTTTTCAACAAATTCCATTTCTTCCCTAGTTTCTTCCAATTCATCTTCAAGTGATGACATTGCTTCTTTGACATTTGATTGCTTCTGGTTGAAGTTACTGTAATAACGGTCTTTTTCTGCTTGCGCTTCAAGTAGACGTTTTTCGGTATCTTCGATAGCTTCTTGGATGTCCAGTATCACTTGATCATCATTCTGTTTATTGTTGTTTTTGACATCGTTCAACTGCTTTAACATTTCTTCAACCTCGTTACTCTTAGATTTTAGTTTATCGATTTCTTCTTCTTTACGCTCAATTATCCGCTTAATTTCCTCCAGCTCTTGTTTATCAGCAGCTGTCTTTAAAGTTTCGGCAAGTTTTCGTTCCTGGTTTAAGAGAGCCTCAAACTCTTTATATTCCTTAATGTTTTTATCAATTTCTGCCTTCTTTTGGAATAAAGAACTTAAATCATTTAACTCAGGTGTCATGTTTTCTTCTGCACTTTGACAATTTAAGATGGTTTCCATTTTCTCTTTGATATTTTGAAGTTCGTATTTGGTTGCCTTGTATTCAGGGAAAACCAAAGGAGAAATTGGACAGAAAACTGTGCTTTCTTGCTCCTTGACCGATGCGGGTTGGACTTCTTTTAAGGATTGCTTTTCGATGACATTCATAAGCTCATCCTCTTTTTCTTTTGTGTCTTCTCCCTCACTCTGTAAAGACTGAAGCTCTATGCATATTTCTTTAATCTCGTTCTCTTGTTCCACAGTCTCAAATGAAAGTTCATTCTCTTCGTCTGTTTCTTTTCCCACAGTAATTGCCGATAGAATGGAATCTGGAATGTTTTGAAGTGCATTTTCTTTTAATTCGGCCGTTTTAACCTTTTCTTTCAACGCATCAGCTGCTTTAAGTAGTTCGTCTGTCTTATTTTGTTTTCTTTCCATTAATTTTCTTAATTCCGCTGCAGCGCGTAGTGGCTCATCTTTTATGCTACCTTCATTTTTTCTCAACAGATCTTCTATTGCATGTATTCTTTCACTTGCATCTTCAGCTCTACTTTGCGCGACCTCTGCATTGACTGATTCAGCTTCATCTCCGCAAGGAAGTTTACTTGAAATTTCTTCAAGCTCAAGAACTAAGTTTTGCTTGCGTTCGATCATAGGTCCAATAGCTGAATGGGAATCATCCAATTTTCCTTGTCTCTGATAGATTACTGCTTCTTTAAAATTATTTTCTTCATCCTTAATTTTTTGATCTAGTACGTCTAAAGCATTTTTGAATTCTTGTTTCAGGCATGCCAATTTATAAGCCTCCTGCACTTCGTGAGGTAATTCTTCATAACCTTTAGGAAAAGCTTCTTGAAGTTCGATCCGTTTGACATCTAGCTCAGCTTTTGCTTCAAGAAGGTCAAACAGTTCTGTGGTCTTCTCGCTTCCCAGATTTTCGATCAGAGATTGTTTCTCAGTTATCTGTTGATCGACGATATCTTTTTCCGATCCTAGTTCCTTCAGCTTATGAGGTAGTACATTTATTTTGCTTTCCATTGCAAGAGGAATCTTAGCTTTTTTGCCTAGTGAAGATAATTGATCTCTTATTTTCATCATTTCTTTTTCGATGTCTTCCACCTTGGTACTTGGTACTGTCTTTTCATTTGGTGTTTCACTGTCTCTGTTTTCAACGTTGGACGAAACTTTGTCTTTGGCTCCTTCTGCAGTAATTCCTTCTCTTTCTCTAAGATTCTTCTGTAGTTTTTCTCTTTTCTTGATGAAAGGCCTCAGCCTATCCTGGCGATCTTCAGCCATTCTTTTATATCTCTCCTTATCTCGTAAAGCTTTTTCGATACTCTTAGTAAGGTTTTTGTTTTTCTTATCTTCGTTGCTTTTTGCTTTAATCAATTGCTGTACATGTGGAGGTATATGAGCCTTCGTAAGAGGCAAATTACTTGGCTCAGCCTCGTCTTTCATGGTGTCATGGTCACTGACTTCACTTGGTTGTTGATTTAAAGTGTAACTTTTTTCTTGCGCACAAGTAGATGAGGAAGACATCTGGAGTTCTTCAAGAACCTTTTTCTGTTCTGCAAGACATTGGACAGCCTCTTCTACTTTCTCCTTCTCTGTATCGTCTTGCATCTGTGTAAGTTTATTCTGATTCTTGTCAAGTTCTCTCGCTTTGAGCGCAACACATTCTTCAAGCTCGAGTTTTTTACTCATCAGTTCAAAGAGACCTTTCTCATCATCTGAAATCCGATCTTCGTGTTCTTTAATTTCCATGTCTAATTCCTCTAATTTTTTACAAACCTCTTCTTTCTCCTTTTTAAGAAGTTCGATCAAATCTTTCTCCTCCTCCTTCTTCAAGGCTCTGTCAGCTTTTTCAAGCTGTTTCAATGCGAGCAGTTCTTGAGCGTTCAGTTTTTCTTCTTCCTTTTTGTTGTTTGCATCATTCAAATCTTTGAGCTGTGCGATTTGTTTTTCTATAGCTTTTATTTCATCTGCAAAACACTTTTCTTCTTCTCGAAGTTCCTTCAGTTCATTGTCTCCAAGATCGTCAGATCTGCTGTCCCCTTCCACTTGTTTTGTGTTGTTCACGGATCTCAACTCGGGAATTTCCTCGACGAACCATCTTCCAACTAAAGCTTTTAAGATATCAAACCTATCTTTCAGCTTCTCATTTTCGCGTTTCAGCGTTTCGACATCAGACTCGTCAAGTTGCTGGTCATCCACCACAAGTTCCTCTTTACCGCTGATAGGGAAATCAGCATCGCTTGTTTCTTCTTGATCCTTAGATAACTGGTTTTGATCATCAGTACTATCTGATTGTTTTACTTTTGTGGTGTCTTGTGGTTTCTCATCTTCTAAGCTAGCGTTTTGGTCTTGCTCGGCATTTTCTTTGTTCTCTGCTGCGTCTTTGTCGATCGGTGTATCGTCTTCATGCAGTTCTGGCTCTTGTGGTTTCTCATCTTCAAAGTTAACGTTTTGGTCTTGCTCAGATTTTTCTTTGTTTTCTGTTGCGTCTTTGTCTTCATCGATCAGTTTCTCCTCTCCATGGAGTTCTTGCTCTTGATCGATATCAGCTTTTTCCGTGTCTTCCGTGTCTTTATCCATTGAATCAAGGACTTTTGCTTCCTCTTCTTTGGTGTTTGAGTCCGTTTCTGTAAGTTCTTTATCAATTTCCTCGTCGTTTTTCCCTGGCAAGACTTTGGATGAACTATCGGCAGATTGCTTCTTGAAGTTCTTTTCTTTCTGAGAAATCTCACTTTTTAATTCTTCGTTTTGCTTGCCTTCTACTTCCTTTTCATTAGTTTCCTCCTCTGTAGTCTTCATGTGCTCTTGCAAGTCATCAGTTTGCGTACTGGCATCTTCATTAGTAATTTCTTTGATGGCAGTGTCAAGCATGTTATCTTGCTTCACATTTTCATTGTCTTCTATTCTTTTTCTTTCAGTTGCCTGCTCTGCAGTGTTGATGCCATTTAGCAGCTCTTCCGTTTGTGTAATGTCATCCTCCTTGGCAGTATCGTTGAAAACATCTCTAGACATTCTCTCTTGCTTCACATTTTTAAACTGATCATCGTTTTCTTCAGATGAGTCGCTTAAGTCTTCTTTTTCTGAGACTTCAGGAGATGTGTCCAGTGGAATGTCCTTGTCATTGTTATCAGAAGCATTGTCCAATGGCCTTTTTACCAGATCCTCGACTTCAAAAGTCTGCGTCTCTATATCAACTGATTGCACCATCATTTTACCAAAAATTGTCCTATTAACAAGGTCTCTTATTCCACTTGTCAACTTATCTTCAAGATCTTGATTCATGTCCTTGACTTTGGCTAACTTTCTGAGGGCGGATTTTAGGCTATCTTTATATTCATTGTAATATATTCTGCCCAAGCTAAACCTTTCTAAGTTCATCGCCAATTCCAGATCAGCCTTCTTTATTGATACGCACTGGCTTTCAATGGATTCGGCTCCTGAATCCGACACTCCTTCCTCGTTTTCAGGAGGAGGACTGTTAGGCTCAGACTCAAAATCGGAGCTTGCGCCTGAAGATGTATCTGATTCTGCGCCCTCGTTTTCTTTTGATATACAATGGCTAATGAGGTTCTCAAGTGCTCTTTGAAGATCCTCTTTGGTGCGTATATCTTCATCGGATAAAACAGACTCATGGACTAACACCGGAGCTATTTCATCAGTTGGCGAATCATTTCGAATAACCTCATCTGATTGGCTTGATGCACTTGCAAAGCTATAACGCCTGTGAAAAGCAGCATCAGTTTTCTTTTTATCATTCAGAAGGTCGTTTATAAGATCGATTGCCTTTTCAAGATTCTGGACACTTGCTTCGTGCTCGTCTTGTCTCTGTCGCTGTAAGTCGGCCAATTCTTTTTTCAATGGCAACGAAGCCTCTAGCTTTTTGGCTTCGGTATTGATGTTATTGATGTTGTTATTTTCATCATTCTCTTCTTCGGTTCCTGGTGTTCTTCTTTGGACTTCTAAAATCTTTTTTGCCAATCCATTTTTTTCTCGAAGTAGTCTCACTTCATTTTCATCTTTATCAGCTAAGAGCTTGTGAAGGTCGGCTATATCTTTGTTAAATTTCAGTAAAATATTCAACTTTTCCTTCTCGTGCTCTTTGTCCATTTCCTCCTTCCTCTGCGAAAGAATTTCGTCCAGTTCATCTTGCATTTCCATGTAGTATATCCTACCCAGGTTGAACCTTTCAATGATGGATGCTTCTTCCAGAGCTGACTTTTCTTTGATGAGATTTTCAATGACTTCGGCTTCCGAAGAAAGGACAAATTCTTTGTGCTGCATTTGTAGTTTTTCCATTAATTCTTCTTTATCCTTCTCGTAATGCTTCTCCAGTTCATTTAGTGTGCGCTTCATTCTTTCATTTTCTTCCTTCAATATCTCTAATTCTTCGAGATCAGGACTTCTTTCCATTTTATTGTCCTTGTCATCGGAATTCCCATCATCATCGGACTTGCCCTGTGTTTCAGTCGACTTTATATTCTGTGAGGTCAAATTTCCATTTGCATCGTCTTTTTCCTGTAAAATCTCTTTCAGTTTCTCGCTGCTTTCTTCCATATCAAGTCCAAGTTTTTCACACACAGCATTCCATACCTCACCTGAAACATCCAAATCCTTTTTTCTCTCGTCTGATAATTCTTTCAAATACCTATTCTTTTCTTGTTCGTGCCTTCTTTGTTGCTCCAGTTTTTCTAGTTCGTGTGATCTTATAATGTTGTTCTTGATTGCATCCAGCTTCTTGCCAAGTTGTTCTTTGACTTCAGTGTGAAAGTTATCATTTATCAGTTCGTCTAAGGCATTAACTTCATTTGCAAAACCTTTAGCTCTTTGTTCGCTAGAGGGCTCTGAAGTGCTTGGCTGATTGCACGCTTCGGATGTTTCTGGATTATTTGGTTTATCAGCTAGATCTTTTATAACCTGGTTAATAGAATCTGTAAGCTTCTTGTAACGAGACTTAAGTTCTTCAAGATCTTCTTCATCTGCGCCATCTTCATCATTCACAGCACCTTTCAGTGAATTAATCAAGTCTTGGATTTTTCCTTGAAGATCAGATTTTTCTTTGGCAAAGGTGACTTTCAGTTGTTTAATCTCCATTTCCTTTTCATCCATAGCATTTTGCAGTACTTTAATCTCAAGAAGATATTCCTGGACACTGTCCTGCAGTTTCATTTGCATATCTAAATCCTCCTTGCTTGATTCTTTGTTTGGATCTCCAGACTTCTTTTCTTGCACTGAGGATAAATCTGTATAGCTGTCTCTACTATTCTTGTTTGGCTTTTCTATTGAAGAGCTGGATAACTCAAATCCAGATTCAGAAGATTGGAGCTCGTCTGCTTCTGATCGTGTCACCAAACGATCCTGATCTTTCTCCAGCTCTTGAACTTTCTCCAAAAGATTTTCATATTTTTTTCTCTCCTTTTCCATTTCATCTGTAAGCTGGATGTTCAAACTACTTAACTTTTCTACTGTTCGCTTGAGGCCTTCTTTGTCGCTGTCAACTGCACTGATGTCTTTAACTGGTTCGCGCAAGTTCCGTTTGTCTCTTTCTATTTCTTCCTTTAATCTTGCATTTTGACTTTCACATTCTTGAAGCTTATCAAACAGCTCTCCATTTCGCTCTTTTTCTTGAACGACTTGACTTTTTAATTCAACGTTTTCTTTTTCGAAAATGTTTAGCTTGTTTTTTACTTCTTCGTGGTCGCTTTTTAATTCCTGGATTTCATTTTGGAACTCGCTTTCCCGCCCATCCATGAGTTGCTTAAAGTACCTCTCAATGTCATTTTTCTCGAACTCAAAACTTTTCAAAAGGTTGAGTTGTTCGTTTCTTAGTTTCGCTTCAAACTCTTCCTTCCCTCTTTCATAGCTATTCCTTAGCTCTTCAAGTTCATTCTTATGTTGTTCTTCAATCTCTTCCAAAGGCTTCTGAGATTTCTTGAAATCTCTCATTTTTCTCCTATTTCTTTTCTCTAAGTTTCTGATTACCTTCTGCTGTTCATCACGCAACTTTGCTACTTCGTCGATAAGTGCAACTTCAATATCTTCTTTTGTTGGCGAGTCCAATCTGTTAAGAATAGACAATTCACGGTTATATACCTTAGCCAACTCAAACCTTTCAACATGAACACTATTTGACAACTCTTCTATCTCTCGTTCTAAATTCTCGATTGTCATGTCCCTTTCAGACAACTTTTCTTGCAACTCATCCGCGAATCTTCGTTTCTGCATTGCGATTTCGTTTTCTAACCGAGTGTTCAGTCTTTGCCGATCTTCGGCGTTGCGTTCTTCCCACAATTTCTCAACAATTTCAATCTTTTCTTCCATTTCTTGTTTGCAAGCTAAAAATGATTTATTTTTCTCGATTTCATTATTAGTATTTTGTTGGTCATGCTTGAAAGTAAGTTTCTTCACAAACTCCGCTTTTTCTCGAACCTGTTTCCTTTCAAGTTCTGCTTTTTCGACCTCGAAATCATTTTTTAGCTTCATAATTTTCGCCAGCTTATCCTCTTCTAAACCATTTATCTTACTTTGAAGCTTATTAATAATGACTTTAAACTCTTTATTTTTGTCCTCAAACGAAGCCGGATCCGATTTTGACCGAAGAATGCAGTTTTCGCGATACAACTCTTCGATTTCAGACGTTTTTTCTAAAACTACCGCCTCGTATTCTTCTCTAAGTTTTCTTTTGTCTTTTCTATATTCCTCCTCTGTTTCTTTGACGTCTCCTTGCGACTTTTTTATCAATTCTTGTTTAATATCTTTCGTCTTTTTTTCATTACGATTTTCGGCATCCACTTGTCTACTGTCACTTTCTTGCAATAACATTTCTCTTTCTTTCAGCCATTCTTGTCGAAATGTTTGTATTTCATCTTCGTGTTTGACTTTAAGCTGCTGTAATTGTTCCTGGTGAATAGTTTCAATGATTTCCTTCTCTTTTATAAACCCTAACACGATATCACCTTTCTCGGCTTCCAATGTTTGTAGCTTCTTCAGAGTTTTACTTAATTCAGCCTCCTCCATTGAAGAATTTAACTCATCCATAATTACTTCAAATGTTTCTCGGGTAAAATTTATTTCAAACTCGAGCCTTAAAACAAGTTGATATAAGATATCAACGCCTGAAATGGCTAGTGAACAAACTTCGAATCATCTTATTAGGCTTTTTTCAGACGCCCAGTCTTCGAGTGTTTACTACAAATTCATAAATTATTAAAATTCCCACCAGAAATTGAGATTCGTTTATGTAAATATCTTGTTTTTATGCAACAATAAGTAAATTCACTTTTGTCATTTGCTTCTTGGCAATAAAAAAATAACGTTTTCCAGTTTTTTTATTTTCTTACGAAATTCCATCTCGATAGTAGAATCGTTTTCTTTGTTAGAAATATGTTGTCTGTGTGCGGTTCGCAAAAACGAGCGAAAAGGAAAACTAACGACTATGTCCAACAAGCGAAAACACAAACGAAGCTTAACTGCATGTGTCGAATGATTCATATTATTGATTTATTATTGCAGTATATATACCCGTGCGAACGCTTTTGTTTGGTTCATTTGCACCATGTTACCGAATTGGTAGCAGAGAAGTTTTACTGAAACTACGAAACAATTAGACAAAACCGCACTGCTTTCTTCGACAACAAATGCAATCAACGTCGCATAACAGCGTCGGTCGACAAAATGTCTGCTTTCAGACAACAAATTCAAACGGCTAAAAGATTACTATTTCATGTATTCCGCAATAACTACTAGAGAAATAACTGATTTTAAACATATATAGTATTATAAACTATTCATGTTAGAAATATCACAGTGAGTAGATTACTTACCTTATTATCTATCGCTTTCTCTGATTGCTGTTCATATATTTCTGTGCTCCCTCAATATTGCAAGAAAGTCAAATACAGAATACAATATCACTTTGAATGTCGTTTCCTTTGGCTGGAAGTATATTTAAAGGAACTGACTGCGTTCATTTAATTTGCTAACTTGATGACATTTATTGCCAGTTTTATCGACGTTAATAAAACTTAACAGTTCCACTGCGCATGACTAGGATGAAGGTTTTTTTCAATGCTATTGTTGTTGCTATTGTTGGCATGTATTTTCGGAATCCAAAAGGCGGTAAAGACGGTGGCACAGGACTGTCATAATATGATGACAAACAATATTTCATTTCCATACTTAAGAAATAACAATAAAACAATTTTGCGTTTAAATATTTTCATTTAACTAATTTGTATGGAAAATGCTGGAACAAATGCAGAAAGCGAAGTAAAAAGGCACATAGAACTGAGCAAATGAAAACAAAATACATATGTATATTGCAATTAATAAACTTATTATTGGAATAATTTTTTTCTTAACGTAAAAAATAAAATAGTAATAACAAAAGGAAGAAAAATAAGATGACAACGATTCCGAGTATGGAAATTGAGACAAGGTAGGAAAAAATGCCAGCTTATTTTGGCCCTGTTCCAGTTCTTTAGTTCCTTCGAGCACCTTTGCTGCACGTAGAAGATACTCATATAAAAATAATTATTTCAGTCATAGAGCTCTTGCATAAGGATCTAAAACCTTCATAATAGTAATAATGAAAACTTTATTTTACCATTTGTCGGCTACATATACAATTGTAAATCTCTCTTGAAAACAGGTAATTTTTAATTGCCTGATTAAATTACTATATGAAAATATGTTAAATATGAGATAAATATGGGTAAGATGGATCTAACTCTAAAAATTCATTAATTCTGGATTACTCCAGCGTTTATTTCTACAGTGCATCTTATGGCGATATTCATTGAGCGCTCATACATAATAATAATAATTAATTATTTAATTTTAAAAAACAATAAATAAAATGATTAGAAACAATTCTGCATTATTTTTAAGTTTTTAAATTATTATTATTGTTATTAATAATAATAATAATATTATTATTATTATTATTATCATTATTATTATCAATATTATTATTATTATTATTATCATCATCATAATTGCTTGTCTCGAAAGCTTTGCAAAAGAATAATATTAATGCAAACTAAGTAGAAGAATTTGAATTAAGGCAATTCCACGGCTTTGTCTTGTAGCTAAGTGCGTCTAATTTTAGCATATTAGCCAGTGACCCATTAGATTGATAGACCTCCTCGGCTCTGGAGCGTACGAGCGCAATGTTGTCCCATTTCAGACCACGTGTCATTCCCTTGAGAATAATAATTTTTGTTTGAGTTGTATCCATATTCATGTGTCTTCTCATGTGCAACCGAGCGCAAACCTTAAACAAAGAAATGGTACCCTAGGGAATGACACGTGGTCTGAAATGGGACAACATTACGTCAGAGCCGAGGAGGTCTATTGATCGGTTGCTTGGCTCTTAACCTAACCATCTTGCGAGGCTAGGGTGGTGCATCGGTAATACGTTGGACTTTTGGCGGACGCCACATGAGAAGAGTGTTTAATTTTTATTGTCTTGCTCTCTTCCTTTTGCGGCGAGGGTTTTTCTCCGATTTTCCTCCAAAGGGGTTTATAAGAAAACAAAGGAACAAAGAAGACGAGAAGTTGCAGTGAAAAGAAGAGACCACAATGGAAAGCGGGATATGCCTAGCTACTATACCCTTTGTGAAAGGAGTAACTAAACTGAACGTATACAACATTTAGTTGATACTCATTTTATAACTTAAATTGCTTGAGTACTTCAATCGAGAGAATTACTTTGTTGATCTGTGTAATTACGAAAGTAAGTCAACAAAATGCACACAGAAAGAGCACAGGGTAGTAGTCACGAGATCTATTTCCCAAAGACAGTTTGATTTTTAATTTTATTAATGACTTCCATGAAGTCATCCGAGAGCGGAAATATGCGGTTGCTTTGCATGCCGACGAAACAAAGTTGTTACGGAAAATTACATCTGTAAACGACTGCAACAAGGACCTTCAACACGCACTGACACTCTTGGAGTCGAAGCAATAACATCAAATTTAACGTGTCCAAATGTAAAACCTTGACTTTGATACGCAGAAAAAGTCCAACATCTTATGAGCACTGTCTTGGGACAGAAGAATATCTTCCAACACAAGAGAAAAAAGATCTTGGAGCCATCGTCTCAAGCAGCATCTAGTCCTGCTGGGTTTACTCAAGAGAACACAACTAAAAATCATCAAAACCAGAAGAACACTATACTTTCGACTGGCTTAAATCTTAATATTTTTTAAACATTTTTCTCCTGCCTGACATCTAGACGCAGCTTTCTTCTGTCCACCACCAAACGTTCGCAGAAAGCCTATACCAACCTTCCAGTTTCCCAGCAAAGAATACTGCTTTGAGCAGCTAAATTAAACTTTGAGCAGACGAATAAAAGTGATCCTTTCACAACATTATATTACTGTTTGAACTTTTATAAATTTGGATTTGATACCCGATATTAATTTCTAAATCTCCAATCATTTAATGAGCCTTGAATTTCCGCAGCCAACAAAAAATACGCAACCCCGCCCCCAGTCAGTCATTTGTGCGCGACAACTGACATAACGTAAACAGATTAGATTTTATACGGAACCCTATGTATCATCTGCTATCTATATGAATTAAGGATTGAATTCACAAGTGTTTTCAAAGTTTTGAAATTGTCCGAGTCACGAATCATATAAAGTGCAAAATTCTACGAAAAGATCCATTGATCCTGAACTATCAAATCAAATGCAGTTATGGTTAATACGAATTTTATTAGAATTCAAACATAAAAGATCCAGTCAATAACCATAAAACATGCATAAAACTAGATTCCTTACCTATGAAGTTCTTAACCTAAATCAGAATCCAAAGGAAGAAGCCGATTAAAGTGGCGTTTTGACTGATTAAGTTCCAACCAAGATGCCTTGTACTGAATTATTTAATCCCAGCGATGCCGTTCAAATTTACAGTGTTGTACATATTTCATATTACTTGAGTGGTCTTTCCGAGACCTATTTACGGAAAACATTAATCCATACACTTGTACACTTTCTGGTTTTCTCATTTTTGCTTGCGCTGCCATCGTGCTTTCCCAACTATCGGTCTAATGAGTGTGGATACAGGTCGATGAGCCACGCGKATGTTATGTGGTTGTAAAATGCGTGATATGATCTCTGACGTACCTCTGATGTATGGTAGTGAAATGAAGGCTTTTGGTGTATTAGCCTTGTCATCAGGGTTATTTTTAGGTCTACTAGGTTTATTAGTGTTGCTATCAATAAACTTATCACTGTAATTGTTCTTATGAAACATGCGTCTAACATGTTGAGTTTCATTCCTTAGACTGTCTGCAGAATCACATAAAACTCTATCCAGGCGATTCCAGCTTGCATCGGAGAAGTTAAAAGAGGAGACACAGGACCCATCGCCATCAACACAAAGCTTGGATGGACCCTCTCTGGACCTGTGAACTCTAACAGGCAAGTAAATGGAAATGCAATTACAAACCTGTTATCTACTCATGTACTCAAAATAGATGCAAGTTCCTTGATAGAAAGTGACACAGTATTTGAAACACATCCTTGTCCACAGTTTTGAGACGTTGAAATGGTTGGTATGTGTATGTTAAAAGGAAGCAAACCAAATATCAAGGAACCTATCCAAGATATTGAATTCAAGGATGGAATTTATCAAGTGAAGTTACCGTTCATAGATGGACACTCTATGATCCCTGACAATCACAGCACATCAGTTAAACATCTACATTCATTGATTACACGACTTCGTAAGGAACCAGAAACTTTGAAACAATACGATGAAGTAATCAAGGATCAAATTGAGAAAGGAGTGTTGGAAAGAGTGACAGACACGAATGACGGAGAAAAGGTAGGGCACGTTCACTACCTACCTCATCGAGAAGTAATGCGATCAGATCGATCCACTACAAAACTTCGTGTTGTCTATGATGCTTCTAGCAAGGGACCCAAAAATGTTGGGCCAAGTCTCAATGACTGTCTTTACACTGGCCAAAGTCTTAAGAGATTCATCGGAAGACGTGGAACACCAGTATTCATTTTATCAGACAATGGCAAGACATTTAAGGACAGAAAACTCAAAAAGTTTGTGCGTGAAAAGAATATCGAATGGAGGTACAATGTCGA